ATACCGTAATCTTAAGTCTTACCGAAGTCGGTAAGTTTGACCATCCAGTTTCTATCAATCAAACAAGCCCATGGGGTTAGTGAACCATGATAACCGATCGGCGACGAATGGAGATATTCCAGGCCCTAAAACATTAGTGTCAGATGTCTTAGAAACTGTAAAACTGATACTTTCGCTGTTACCAAAGCGCCTTTATCGTACCTATACAGTACCTGATCATATTTAGAACAAAGCAAATTACTGGTCTTGTCCACTTACCAAAGTAATGTCCCTGACGAATGCACCATGGAATTTGGCATCCATTACCATGTCATGGTTGTAGATAATATCCTAAATTATCAGCCAATCAAGACCATCTTCTTACACCAGTGCGAGACTACCGTACCTGTACAGTACCACGAGAGCAGAATTTCCATAGCAACACCATTTCATCTTTCTCGTTGAATGACATTCCAAGGAATGGATTTAAGTTGTCGTGAATAGCTTGTTTCATCTGAAAGGCATCCCATGTTTGTCGTAATCTGCGCAACTACCGTATCCCGGGTACTGACCTGTGTGAGCAGCTGCATATCCTCCCTATTGAAGCTGATTGGTCGTCGTTGTGGGTAGACATGGAATGAAGCATGGGTATTTGTTCCAAGTACTGCATGATGCTTTGCAAACGATGATGTGTTGGATAGCTTGGTTCTCGTTGAGCCGATCGATAACTGTAAAGACGAAAATGAGGTTACGGTATTGGATTACTGTAGCTGTGAAGGTGTGCAAGGGGACAAACTGAGCTTTCGGTAAAAAAAATTCGCGTTTGCTACAGCTTGATGTAAAATAGCAGGAATACTTTTCCTTTCCCTTTTTCCCACGTCTTTTACAATGAAAGTAAAAGTTCGGAAATTCTAGGCCTCACCCATCCATCCCAAATTTTTTAATGTTTCTTTTGCTGACGATAATCTAATGAATCATTTAGAGGATGATTTCCTACTATTTTTTTATGTCACACAGCCATGCATGGCGCGCACGAATGGTTCTGGATAGAAATCCTAGGTTGCGCAGTAACCCCACAATGAAGAGCGGTAAGTTGGTGTATAATCTGGTTTCGTCAAGTGTGGACCCTCTTTATCCTCAAACTTACCATAGAACGAACTTCATCCTCATTGATAACTCTAAAATCTTCACGGTAAATTCTCCATGGTGTTTTGGCCAATGCGCGATTTTCGCTGAAACAGGGGCAAAACATTCTTATGTTCTTTCACGCGCTATTTAGCTATTTTTTATAAAAAATGATTTATGGAAAAGTAACCGCACCAGATTCGAATAGTAATCAGAGCGGCAACGATTGCGAGCAGAAGCAGCAGCATTAGTGAACCGGCGATGATAATCATTGTGTAATCACAGCGTTCGTTACGGTAACCGCAGGCGGGTTCCATTTTAGGAAGCGAACCGTCAGGAGATGGCCAGAATCCTGTCATGACGTCGGTAATATGCTAGAATGTAACAGTTTGAAATCTTTGGACTTCTGCCTGAAAATTTGACCAACCAAGTCGAAGCATCCAGTTCTCGTTTTTAGACCATCACAATTTTTGATCAGCTTTGGTTCAATCTCGTTGATTTTCTTTACGTTATCGCTGTTGGCGGGGACATAGAAGGCTAAAAAGCAGAGCTCAGACAAGGCAACCAAATGAAGATCGTGTCAGCACCAGCGATCTCCTGCTACCATAATCCTACCGTATTACCTACCTGCATAAACTGGCGCACGTTCAGCAATATCGTCCATCATCACAGTTCCTGAGGTGACACCGGCGGCGGATACAAGACCTATAAAATGCCCATTCGAGTTCTATTTTAGTGCTAAAATCTCCCATAACTCCACGCTTCTACCCACCTGGGAAGGTGATACGTCTCATTTGATTCCATACAAATCGTCCATCTTGATAGATGTTCTCGTTTCCAGTCATATTCATTGAAGTGCGAACAGCTATGGCATACAATCGTAATGCGTCGTACAAGTGGATGTAGCCATAAACGTTTCGCTGAAAATATTTCTTCGAATAGATGAATTGCATAATAATATTTTGACAATTTCTTATGATCAAATTTGATTCTTTGTAAGCAACCCTTGCTGATGAGATTCGCCATGAATTTTTTTTTACAAAATTTGCGTTCAAGAAAAACAATATACTTCTGTGCTCTGTGTGCGTTAGGTTATCTTCTCTTTT